TATATAACAACCAAAACCTTTTCGTGTGCAGTGTATACAGTAATGGATGTATTGCTTCCATCAATGTAAATATTCTCTACTCTAGAATTATTCTGTGAGCAGATAGCGAGTATAGCTACTCGACTAAAATTAGAAAATAATATAATGTATATATTAGTCATAAGTTATAACTGTAGACTGTTGTTAAATTTGGTTTCGTAACATATTGATATTATACTAATCATATTAAATAAAAACTGAATTCATTTTGTATAGAATTAGGTTTTTTTTATGTAAATTTTCTTAATCTTTAGGCGATTTTTAAATAATAAAAATTAAAAGTTGTATAATATATTATAATTATAGTTTTGTTTAAATTTTTTTTAGAATTATTTCGAACGTATTGATTTTACAATGATGTGTGTCAGTGCTATTTTAAATTTTCATCTAAAAAAATTAATACAGTTCTTTGGTGGGTGAAAAGTAAAAATATTCGGAATAGCTTTAAAAATTATCGGGGAAAAAAATATTTAAAAAACAGGAAATTTAAAAAAAAAACCCCGCTTTTTGGTGTGATTGATCAATTAAGAAAGTAAATATTTATATTGTCACACGGCTTATAGCTCAAAAAGTATCCATATATTTTGTAAATTTTAGTTTTTTGTTATAATATAACTACTTGCGAAAAACCTTATTATTAGAGTCCGGATTTATATTCTGTTAAAACGTTTGAAATGTGATGTTTATATGCAGTTGAAATTTATGAAATATTCCTAAAAATATTCTTAATATTCTCAAAATATTCCTAATACTCTCAAAATATTCTGAAAAATATTGATAATAGTAACTAATAAGTAGAGTCCGGATTTATATTCTGTTAAAACGTTTGAAATGTGATGTTTATATGCAGTTTAAATTTAATTTATACTATATTTTGATGCTTGTTTAGCTGTTTACGCGCGGGTATTGTCAGTTTTCAATTTTTTTTTTTCTATTTATATCAATAAAATTTTATCTGTTGGGCCAAAAAGTGTAAAAATTTAATACAATGCTCCTGATATATTGTTACAATAGCAGTTGAAAAATATTAAAAATAAATAGCCACAATTTTTTTCGCATAAGCATTTAAAGATCAAATTTTGACAAAACTTATCAAATTTAAAATTGAATAATTATTTTGTAGTTAAAATTTTATAAAATGTTCAATATTTATATCTAAGGATTGAAAATTTAAAACAAGATTCCATGTATGTAGTTAATTCTGTTACCAAAAAATCTAAAAAATACTCAAGCACAGTTTATTTGTATAGTCATTTTAAGTTCAAATTTGGACGAAATTACATATTATTAAAAAACCTAGAATAACTATTTTAGTTATTTTGTTGTAATTGAATAATATTATTCGTGGGTACTGGGAACTTCTAAAGTATACTACTATATATCTATGATCGTATCAAGGTTTTTTGTTGATGTATAACGCGTTACAACTTACAAGTACCTAATGGATATTGTGATAATGTGATATGATTAATTTGGAATTTATTATAGGTCAATTTTTTTTTTAATACCATAGATATGTATATGTTACCGGAATAGATGAAAATTCAGGAATTGTCGGTATATCCTAGTCATTGTTGACAATGGCTGGAAAGGTTAGGCAATGTTGGATATTTCGTAGTTTTATCAACATTTCCGTATTATATTAGACAATGTTTTAAATCCGAATCGAAAAAAATATCGACACCGCGCTTTATCGGTCATCGATCTGATTATGAAACATAGCTATCTATATTATTACTTATTAGTTATTATAGTATATAATATGGTAAATCCTGTTTTATGTTATCGTTTTTATTGCTTATAACTTATAATAAAATTGATTATACAGCATAATGATTAATGCGCATAAAATTTGATAACGCAATTCTATTATTAATTGAATCGAAACGTAACGACAACAACTTTTTTTTGAATAATGAAGAATATTGTGAACGAATCGAAGAAATAAAAAAATCTAAAATTACACTATCTACGGCTGGAGTAAAAAAGTGCACGAAAGACTATAGGAATGTTCGTAAGTACGATATTCTTATTATCAACGGTAAAGATCGTCTTATTAAAACCATAACCAATGCGTCAGAGGGTGTGCGTTATTATGTAAAAAATGAAGAGTTGTTTGATATAATTCATTCTACACATACAGCAATCGGTCACGGAGGCCGAGACCGAATGATGGCTGAACTTAAATTAAAATACGCGAATGTGACAAAGGAAACAATAATGGTTTATTTAAGTCTATGTTCTGATTGTCATAAAAAATCTTCGAATCCAAAAAGAGGGCTTGTATCAAAACCTATTTTACATTCGGCATACAACTCACGTGCTCAACTGGATTTAATAGATATGCAATCACAGAGCGTAAATGATTTCCGATTTATAATGAATTACCAAGACCACCTAACAAAGTTCGTTGTACTTAAACCATTAAAAACAAAACGTGCGGAAGAAGTTGCACATAATTTACTAGATATTTATACAACATTTGGAGCACCAGCCATACTGCACTCAGACAATGGAAGAGAGTTTGTTAATAATACTATAAACGAACTTCATGCTATGTGGGGTGATGTAAAAATTGTTCATGGGAAACCTCGACATAGTCAGAGCCAGGGCTCTGTCGAACGCGCCAATCGAGATGTGGAGGATATGTTGGCTACATGGATGGCCGAGAACAAAAGTAGTGATTGGCCGTCTGGATTAAAATTTATACAGTTCCGAAAAAATCGCGCTTTTCATTCAGGTAAGAATTATTTACGTACTATTTTTAACTTATTAATTGTCGTATAACGCACGTCTATTATGTTATTAGAAATAAATAAAATAACAACATACACGACAATTAATAACAAATTTTTTTATAATTTTTTCAATAATAATAATTTTTTTAATTTTAATAATAAGTTGGCAACGTCGCATCTAATTTCACGCACAATCGTACGCTTTTGAATAGTCAAAAGCATGTTCTTTGTTATTCCGGTACCGCGCGCAATCGTATGCCCAAAAAGGTAAAACGCGCGTAATCGTACTCCACCAATTTTATTTAATTAACTGAAAAAACATAATATTACCTTTATACATTTAATAAGATAACATTTTTAGGTATTGGAAGATCACCGTATGAGGCAATGTTTGGATGTTCAGCTCGATTAGGCGTAGCGTCAATAGGTTTACCTATGGATGAAATAGACTGCCTACAATCTGAAGAAGATATTGAGAATATTTTACAAGTTTGTGAAGGTCAGAATGACCATCTCGGTTCAGATTTATTTGACTCTGAACAATGTCATACTACACAAGTTGAAGAAAACGGACCAGGAACTGGAAATAACTCAGAACTTAGTATGAAACAATAAAATTAATGTCTACTATAGTGTATATTTTATTTTAATATAAATAATTTTATAGTTAATCAACGACAGCAGAAAATTCAACACGAACGAGCATTATCTGTTAAATGTTTAGAGAAACAAGCGAAAAAAATGGTAAAAACATCTAATTCAAAATACCCGGAACTTGAAGTAGGAACATCTGTGCGTATCTCTATTCCTGATGTTGACCGAGCTCGTGGCTCTCCACGAAATGTATTGGCAGTTATAACTGATGTGAAAGATAATTTATATAAATTATGTAAGCATAAATTGTATAATTATTTTAAGCAACTTAAAATAATTTAATATTTTATTTTATTATTTTTTTTTACTATTTATTATTATTTTATTATTTTTTTTTACTATTTATTATTATTATTTTTATAGGTACAGAAAATGGATTTCTGAAACATAAGTATACCAGGACAGAAATCAACCCATGCAAGGAGAAGCTTCTAGATCTTGAAACGGTTATAAGTAAATTGAAAGAGGGAGGAGAAATAACTCTCCGTGAAGCAGCTGCCTTTAACAGCATTTCTGGATCCCAAGGTTTTACGAGATGCCACTGTAAAACACAGTGTAAGACCAATAGATGTGCTTGTCGTGCATCTACTAGATTATGTAATTCTAAGTGTCATAGCAGTTTACCGTGTAACAATAAAGATTAAGATTATGATTTATAATAAATAGCTAATAAGTATTATAATTTATAATATATTATTCGATTTTCAACTTAATTTTTAATGTTATCATCAATGCCTTCTTTCATTAGGAATTGTTATAAATGACTAGTTATTGACGTTAATTCCTTACTAAATCAGGCCTTATCGTTATTGACTAGTCATTGTCAACACTGACTGAATGTCATCTTTTCCGGTAACATATATAATATGTCTTATACCACAGAACAATAAACCTAGATCCATTATACAGTGACCCACTTGAACCTACAACTGTACAGGCGTACAGCAGAGCCACCTTTTTTGATTATGAAAATGCTACAAACATTTTGTTATCAAACGTTGGCCATAATTTAAACCACGGACCAAGATATAATGTACTGGAAACGACATGGTGGGCGGGTGACGGGGGACGGCCCGCAAAAGGTTCCTCTGTTATCGACACTCATAATCCAAAGTTTTCAGCTCTACCAGTGGTTTTATTTAATTCAAATTTTGTCCGTGTTTTATACAGATAGCGCTGCAAACTCTCGATTATGATGGCGACCCCCGCATTTTCCTCTCGTACCTACCTTTCGAGGCCACTGATAAGCTGCTCGTTTCCCGTCCATTATATTATCTTAGTCCGTGCTTTAAACCATTCTAAACTGAATCAGAAAATTATAAGTTTTTCGACAACTGCCATTATCCCGTTAACAATTTAAGTTTTCCACATTCAATGGCTCAACAGAGTATAGACTATAGATATTTAAACCACAAGACAGTAATAACTTACAGTGTAATGTCTATTATTTAAACGATTTTTAAATTTATTTAAATCTTACATTAAGTGTATATAAATAAGTATTTAGTAGTTATACATCATATTGTAACAATTTCTTTAAAATTATCGGTTATTCCCCAATCTCCATAAATGGAGCCATTAGATCCCTATGATAATCCCATAAAATGTATTTTTGTTTGTCACTTTCATCACACCGCTGGACCGAAAATTTTGTGTCAGGTAAATATTACTTAATATTTTATTCATGTAGGGTAAAAAATGTCTTATAAATAATATTTCTAAATTTCTTAGGCACTTATTTTTGTTAGAATTGTATTAACACATCAATAACAAGAACCTTATAGTATAATATGTGTATGTTCAGTTGGTTGTAGCAGAATGTTAAAATTTAGTTGATTACTATTTACTTGTAACAATTTTCATGAGTTAAAAACAATTCCTCATAAAAGTATTTATTATTTAAATGTTTTGTCTGATAGGTGCCAAAAGATTTTATGAGCAAGGATACATTTGAGACAGTCAGTGTATACATGATACCAAAAGGACAACTTCAAAAATTTATAATTACTATGTAAGTAGCTTACTGAAATGTATGTGAATTGTTTTTAAAGGTACCATGTCATAATGTTGCGTAAAAATATTAAAATATAATACAATTTCAACTTACTAATATTCAATTGAAAGTTGGAATTTTTGCTTTAATATTTGTGTTTTGTGGTACCGAATGAAATTAAAACAGGCAGTTCAAATGTTTTTATTGATCCATCCACCCCTTCAAACAACTGTGCAACGGTCTTGACTAATTATCTTACCCACCTACCCAATTTTTAAGGCAGTTCAATTGAACTACCTGAAGTACGTGTTTGGTGGCACTAAGTGTGTTGAATTCTTGCCATCCATCAATCTGGGTTTTCATTAATGCCTTAAACAAAGTTAAGAAGAAAGCTTAAATAGTTTTGAAATAATACAATATACTGCTTGCTTAGAACCAATAAAAAATACAATGGTTCTAAAATTTAAATGAAAATAAATTGTGATGATTTTGAAAAAAGATCATTGACAATAATTATATACAAGTAATATTCCATCATTTTCAATCTCAGTTGTATAACAACATTTTTACTGCGACATTATGATGGTATACCATTTTTAAAACTCTAAGTATTTCTAATTTGAATACTTTGTTCTAGAACAACAAGGGACAACAAAATTTTGGGTTATCCAATACAAATTAATGACCAAAAATATCTTCGTAATGCATACTATTTTAATTTGTGCTTTGTTTGTGATCATAATTCCCATACATTACATTATGAACCTATTGTAAAAAAATTATCTTCTTTTTTGGTATGTGCTTTTATCTTTAGTTTTATTCAGGACTTGCAAATGAAAGCGAGTCATATTAATTTGCCCCCCCCCCCCAGTGATAGATAAATCACAATACCAGGTGATTCTTTTATCATTGACAACTATTTATTTCAAAAAATATAAATTTCAATATCTATTTTACATGATTTCTAGTCGTTAAAAAAACAACATTTTTAAAAAATATACAGTAGAACTTAACATTATCTGAACCTCTATTATCTAAACAAATATCAAATGCAATATACGTATCCAAACATCAATAAGCGTTGTTGTTCTTGTACAAGTAATCATGAAGTTATGTATAATAAATGAACGTATATAATAATTCAATATTATTAATAGTAATAATATTATTTAATATGTATGTATTAACATATTAAATATATATATCCGGTCCCAGTATTCAAACTTTCACGTTTCTGAATTTGGTGCAGTCTCAATTAGTTCGGATAATCAAGGTTTTACTGTATATATTTTTAAATATTTTTTATCCTTAACATTTTTATTTTTTGAATGACATACAGTTTTCATTTTATATTCCAAAGCAGAATCTTTTTCTATGTATTTCAGTACTATCGAATTTAGAATGAGTAGTTTATGAATTATAACTTATAAGAATTTAAAGTTTAGATGAGTGGAGTGTAACGTGTACCCTGCAAAATGTTGATCCACTACTCCGCTCATCTATATTTACTTCTAACCCATAAACTACTCATTCTAAATTCAATTTTTATGTATTAAAATACTTAGAAAAATATTCTGCTTTCAAAGTTGAAATTAAAACTGTCCCTTAACTATAAATAGCATTATTCATTTGTGCTGGTTCTGAATATACAACTTATATTTTAATAAATAACAAAATACTAATTTTTACTATGTTATGCAGTTAAACTTAGAAATAGAAGATAATTTTCTTTCTAAAAGTGACCAATCGGAAAAGACTCAAGAAGAATTATTATGTCTTATGAGTAAAGTAATGGATGATTTAAACCTGTACAAAAGATGTACATTGATAGGTAATACTATTTAGTATTTATACAATTTTATAACTTTATTAAAATTCTTATTTTTTTAAATTTGTTTTTGTTTGTTTTTCACTTCATAGATTTTACTTAATACTAAATAGGATTTGTCATAAGTATAAGTGACATGGTTGGCAGGGTAGCCATAGATAAAATAAATATTCAATTTAAGTTACATTGCAACAACTATTCAGGAGGGCCAGTATGCTGCAACATACTGCTTCTTAGCAAATTTTTTATTCTTGCATTGATGAAAAACTACATTCACATGTTGCTTACTCCTGGCGATAGCTAATGCAACTTGATACAATAATTAGAATGCAAGATAAGAAAAAAACCTGATAATACACTTTTAAAAGATAAAATTATATTTGTTAAAACTAGCCACTAGGCAGGTTTTTTAAATTATAAAGACACAGAATTTGGTATACTAAACTTAAAGTTTTGTGTGCTCCAGGGTTCTGCACTCCTGTAGTTGCACCATTGACCACTATGCGTACCATACAAATGTTGTATAACTGGTATATTTTTTCCAAATCAAACATTAACAGTTCATTTAGAACCACTATAACAAGTTTATTATTCTACATATTAATGCCTAAGTTAATATATGTATTCCCATAAAATTGTGGACACAAAAAAAAATGTTAACAGGAAACAGTTACCCTAATTATGCTTTGCACACTTATGTGATTAATCGTATTAGCATACATATAAAAGTATCTCTCATATTACTAATTATGATTTTTATAGCACGGCAGTCAATTATTTATTTAAATGTGATTGAAGTTTCACGTAATCCACCTACTCCATTGGATTTTGATGTTCCGTTACCAGTATCTGAAATAGATCTTTTAGATGAACAGTGGGATTTAACTACTAGACAAGTAAGTGTATTCTTCACATTGCAATATGTTATGTTGTTGTAAAAGTTATGTAATTAAATATTATAAATCCCTGTGGTTTTCAGGTAGCTCCTTTTATTGATGGAGTAAATCATGTATGCAAAATTTCCGAACTTTCTAAATTGGACATTGAAGTGGTTGCTGCATGTATTCAGAATTTAGTGTAATATATTACAATTATTTAATAATATTTGTAACACTAAACTATTATTCAGCTGTTCAGTTGACACAATGTATTAGAATATTTTGTTTTAATTTGTTATTTTTATTTTTTTAGTTATTGTAATGCTGTTTCATTAGTAGACCTATTTCGTTATAGTAACATGTATGTGTGTACTACTAAAATTGGACAACTTGCAAGGAATAAAAGTCGATATGATGAAGCAATTAGTGCTATCTCACGACCTAGTTAGTTAATTCAAAATTTTTGTTTGATATTAAATGTATGTTAATAACCATATTTATTCTCTTGTAGGTGGTCCAAAAGCCACATTCAAGGACATATTTACTGTGTTCTCTGCAATGAGACAAGGATCACGGTTTATTGATGTCTGTTTAAGGTTTAATCCAGTCTCAATAAATATCGATGAAAGAAATTTAGTACTCTATGGTCTTGCCAACGGCTACATTCGCCAGTTGAGAAAGGTAAATTACATATTTTATTTAATATTCTGACTCATAAGAAATACAATAGAAGCTGCTTGTTAGGAACACGGATAATTAATACAATCGCGATATTGAAACAAAATACGAACTGGCCATATATTAAAACATTGTAAATCAATCCTATTAATGAAACAATTAGAGCCAATTTTGACGACAACATCCGGTCATTTGGTGTTACCCAATGTGACAACTAATTACAATGAACATTATCTTAATTATAATTTTGTTTATTTCATTAAAGCACAAATAGAGCAGGGGGGGGGAGCCTATTTAACACATTTTTAACCTATTTAGACACAAATGTGGTTTTTAACTCATTGTGCCAGTATGAACAGAAGAAAACTATATCAATAAATATATATTTTAAATAACATAATTTTTTTTTTCATTGTACCTACTTTTTTTTAAATTATACATTTTTTTCATAATTAGTAAAACCAATCGCCTATTAGAAATAATAAATTAATTAACACACTTCACTTCGCTCCAAAAGTGTTCCTAATGAGCTACTTCTACTGTACATATGATCTTGAAACTTATTGTATGTTATGAGTTCAGTCTACCACCGAATATTTGTTATTTTACTTGATTATCATGTTTTTAAGGTTAGTGATATATTATAAGAAATGTTAACCTTTCTTTTCTTTAAATAATGCCAATCTTAAAATATGTGCATAGAATCATTTTTCAGATGCAATGATTTTATCTTCTTAACAAATTTATTTTGTTTTAGTATCCCGTGGTATTAAAAGAAAAAGATGTTGAAAAAACATATATGGGGAACTATTATAATGGCCTAAACTCACTCAATATAATTAGCTGTTTTACAAACTCAGATGTATATCATTTGGATGAAGAAATTGAAAGGGATATAAGAATAGTATCAGTATGGAAATAATTTAAAACTGTTATGTTGAAAATATGTTAAGTATAAAAAAAAGAATTATCATTGTAAATAGAAATTAAATTTATATAATATTATTGTAAATTATTTATTGTTTGGTATACTTAAAAAAATATAAGAAAATTGAATTAATTTTTTTTCTTGTTTACATTGATCAAACATCAAACATTCAATGATGTATTGATGTCTACAACATACAAATATAATATAAAATGTGAATTTGTTTATCAATTGGCAGTCATTACAGTATAAATAAATTCAATACATAAAAAAATTCACTAATTAAATGTATGAACATATTTAGTTATTTAAACTGTAAGCAGTACCAAAATGAAATTAAAATATATTGGTAAACAAAAATCAATGTGTCTAATAAATTAAAATGTATGTTATCTTGAAAATTGGACACCTATGATGTATCATAACAATTTTGATTTTAAATATTATTTATTTAATATATAATATTATACATATATACACATTACACATGTAACACACATTATGAAAAAAAAATATTACAGCTTATCCATTTTTTGTTAACACATCAGATAAGGTCTTTGGATCTAAACATTAAACTTAGATTCTATTTTCTTTTCATAATTAACTTGAAAAGAGTAATCGTCAAATAAGACATCCAATATTATATATAAAAGAAAGTCTAAATTACATACTACAATATTACAAGGTTGTGTAGAAAATTGGTTGTATATGAAATTTGTATTATATAAAATAATAAATAATAATCTATTATGGGCACTTGCGATCAATTTGACTTTTACCTCCTTCTTTGAATTCTTGATGACTAATCCACATTTGTTGAAACGTTCCAATAGATGCTAATATTGAACCACCAATCCAAGCACCAAATCTTCTTTCAGTGGATCCATTAGGTGCTATCAATTTTAATCTCATGCTAGCTGGTATACGAGCAGAAAGATCCCGGTTTAATCTTTCGGGGAAACCCTTAGGATTTATAAATGCCAGTAATTAATTATGTTTTCTAATTTAATTCTCAATTCAATCAATAATTTACTTGTAAAAACGAATTTCCTCCAGTGACAATAACGTTATTGTATAAGGCTGGCCTTACATCCACATCACACATTCCAACACTTGTGGTAACGATATGACTCACACCCAACATAGAACCACCCATACTAGCACTCGGATCAAATAAAGCTTCTGGTATTTTGAATCTTTCATTGCCAAATTCCTAAATATATAATAATGTTGTATGAATTGTTAGAATAAGCTAATAATTGTACTGCATTTTTTTTTTTTTACAATACTCTGAACAAACATTGATTAACATTTATTGTGATAAATTAAATCTTAGTTATAATTTATAAACCTGACTTTTATGAGTTCTGAGTAGGTACAAAAAAGTATAAAACTTTAAGTTTAGCATAAATGCAGTTCAGCTCCCAAGCGCTTTTAGGATTTTTTTTCTTCAAAATACATGTTTTGCATACTTAATTTGTAAGTTATGGTCAAAATATTTTTGTTTTAATTTTTTAATTTCACGATTTAGTACGGTGCGGTCACTTCCGATCTCCGTTTAGGTATTGGCCACCAGGAGCGCTAAGAATGCCGATTCTTTGAATAATTGTGTGTAGCGGTTTACGCGTTAAAACTTAGGAATTTTGAGTATTATTATGCTTAATGTGTGCTCAATGCTCTACATCGTGAAATTAACTAATTAAAACAATTTTTTTTTTTTTAAAACCCATGGATGGGGGAGGGTAATTGTCATGTCACCCCTCCCATAAATCTGCCCCTGTGTGTTCCCACCCCGTGTAAAAAGAATATTTAAAGTATGACTTACACCTTTCGTTTTCAGCTCAATTAAAAATGTTCAATATAGGCAATTACTCTACTAATAACTCATAAATTATTACTTGATTGTAGCCATTAGGAAACTCAAAATGAGAAGTCGGAAGAGCTGATATTATTCTCTCATCATAGGGACCTTCAGATACTTGCAATATAGAATGCTTTAAGTCTTGAATAACTGCTTTGCACATATAATTATGCCACGAAGTTGTTACTTCAGGGAGTGTATGTTTCTTTGTCCATACTGGCTTGTCTTTTTCTTTAACCTGTTCTTTCTGTGCAACCATATAATGTGGAACTACTTCAATTTCATTATCCTGTTAAAGAGGAAATCAAAAAATAAATTAAAAATACGAAACAAATGCTGTCATATTATAATATACTTACTTTTAAGAACTGTCTACATTGCATACTAATGAAGTCCCCACCTAAAGGCGATTTGACAATAGCACTAGGTATAACATAACCATCATGTACAGGGATGGCAGAAGTATGTGTTGCTCCGCTGTCTACCACAATACCAGTAGAACGACCACAAGAGAATGCAGCTAATACAGCATTTCTTCCCAGAAAAGTGGCCGGCACATTATACTTTTCAAACATTAATTCTACCAACTTCTCTCTTTTAGATCTGATATTCAAAGGTGACTCGGTAAATAATACCGGATGATACTGTGATTCTGTTTGTAAGCATTTTGAGTAAGAGTAATCCAATATTTTCTCAAACAAATCCCAATCGTCGATCATGCCGTCTTTCATGTAGCTTACAACTTCCATACCTAAAAAGAGAACATTTTCTCGATAATATATTTACAAGTATTTATATCAATGCACTATCAAATACCTTTCCGAGGGACACACAATGAGTTAACGTCGATGAAATGTTTGGTGTTCTCGTTGATGCGATTACTTTGTTTAGCGCCAGGTTCTAACATACTAGTGTCCGCTGTACCATCGCTCGAGACACCGACCACTGCTGGTATTTCTGCTTTCGGTGTGTCTTCTTGGGCATAACCTATTCGAAACGATTGCGACCCCAAGTCGAACACCAAAGCCCCGATTTCGTCTCCGCCATATAGCATGCCGCTATTCATGTTTAATTTTGGATACGAATGTTGAACTACACAAAATTTTAATTATTTTATGATTTTTACTTGAACTTCACACTGAGTCTGGACTAAATTATGAATGAAGTCTCATACCTCGTTGAGAACTAACTAAAACGAATAAAGCATAAATACTAAATACCCCGCTAAACCCGTCCTATATCAGTACCTAATGTTACTATGATGATCATCAATGATGTAAATATGTGATAGATATTTAGTATTTAGATCTAGTTTGTTGTGGGAGACAGATAATACGAGACGCCGGTTTTTGTTTATACTTTGCAGTGCAACCAAATATAAAGCGTGAGATGGAATCGATTCGAGCGCCAGAAGCCACTGGCCCACACTGGTTTATTATAGTTCAAGTGGTTTTTTTTAAATGTTTTGGCGGGATTCTATGTATTTTATGACCTTAGACCACTCCATGACTAATAAAATAGATTTATTAACGCCGGGTTGCAAGAAACCTGTCTTTAAATTAATTTAATGAATAGTTTTATCGAACCGTTAAATATTTTTACAGACTCGGGTATTTTGTTACTTTACCGAACCCTCATTTCTTTTTTTAATTTTTTTTTTTTACTTATGTAGTTTACTGTACTGTGTCACTGAGAACGATGGTGAAGTCAGAATTTGGAGGTCGGACTTAATTTCGAAGTTATGGCTTAATGGAGTTAACTATTTTACGATTTTTACGCATTCGAGCGCACTAGTTTACTGCACCTATTACGAACATTAATTTTTTTTTTCGTTTGGGTTGCATAAAGACGGCTGCACGCCTACTTTGTGTTTCGTGTAGTGTCGTGTCTCATCATAATTCCGTGTCGTGATGTTTGTTGGTACAACTTAGTAACAATGGTATAGGACATAGCTTAGATCATATTCGTATGGCTCTATCCATTGTATATGATCTAAGGGACATAGGTAAACACATAGGTAAACATATTCCCGCCATTCATACATGATAGATAATTGATATTAACATAATGTTATGATTTATAATGACATAATTTATACAATGTACTAAATTTTAATTAAATTGTAATTTGTAATTTGTCCTCATGGCCCATGGGTTGATGATTTGATTATTGCCATTTTTAACAAAGGAATTATTAACTACGAAAAAAAATGTGGACATATAGATTTGTTATTATATTAAATTATCATTTTGAGGAAGTTGTAACGTTTTTAATTTTTTTAATATAATATTTCAGTTTGTGTTTTGTGTTGTATTAGGTTAATATTTTGTATTTTTGAAACAATGAACTAAATACTAAAAGCACGGTCTTTGTGACCGTGAAGTGTGTGCTCTAGGGTTAACATGTTTAATATAACACCATAACTACATGAGGTTGGTCATATAATATGTAGAAATAATTATAAATGTGATTTAGCAACATAATTGATTTGTTTACGTATGTGACAATAGACAAAAAAAAATGAGAAGTGAAAAATTGACTACAAAAGTACTCAATATTCCAAAATAGAAGTTATAACAAGTTAACCTTTAAGAGCAATAACAACATAGTGCAATAATTATCAATCATCATTCAATAGAATAAATAACTATAGCAGATTATAGAAATAATCTTGTATTCATTTTTAAAATAAAACCTGGGTTATTTATTAATCTTTTTCAGATTTGTCAATTTTTGAATTACTCCATCAGTGATTAGTTTGTTATAAATTATTGTTACCTTCAATGGAGTAATGGGTCACAATAATGTTCATACCAACTTGCAGATCCAATCCAACTAAATAAATATCAAAATCAGAATTGTTTATTTACATGTTTAATAATAAATAAATGGTAACAATTTATTCTTGTAATTTTGTTCATGTTTACAAAAATATTTCCAAATTCAACTTATATGGCCTATTCAGTAAATATTGCAAACAATATTATTAGACATCATAAAATAATGATGCTAATGGGTAACGTATAATAAATGCAAATAAACTGCAAACAAGCTGAAAAAAAAAATGTAATAAATGTATAGGTTCTATATCTACTTATAGTATTTTCATGATCAAAACTCACTTGAACGATTAACAATGTTATAGTCAATGTTTTCTCATTAGTTGGTCCCATTTTAAGTAAACATAGATTAATAAGTGTTAGATTATTACATTTAATAATTTCATCAGGTTTCTCTTCAATATGAATAATATTAAAAATTGAAAATACTTTCAAACACATTTTTCCAATGGGTGAAATTTTATTATTATTGCACTCAGCATAACTTGGTGATAGTGTTCCATATTTGTCCAATCTACAAGTTCAAAATTTTTATTTGTTTTATTAATTAATGTCTAATGGGTGTATATACAGTGCTGCAACAATAAATTCACTAATTTGATAAGGTCGTAATTTGGATTTGGGTGATGGTACATCGATAGTATTTACATCTACAAAAGGTTTATCGATATTGTTGTTAATATTTATCAGTTAGACCTTGTTCAGCATTCTATGGGAAATGTTTTCTAGCCAAATTGTTTCTGTCTATGGCCACGTTGGTCAAATTTAAACCCATTTGATTTTTTTCTTAAAAAGGCTATCTTAAGACTCAAATTGTACTGAAGTCTCAAGGAGATAATAACCTAGGAAGTCAATGCTATCTCACTCGAAATAACCCATAGGGCCATACCCCATTACAACCACCAAGAGACTTCTGTGTATTAAGATATGAGGTCCGCCACTGATATATTTTTTTTTAATAATTGATATAAAATTGCATTAATTAATGTATAATTAATAAATAAAATATATTTATAGATATTTAACTAGATTTTAAATTTGATTTATATTAGTATAAAATAGTTTTTTTTTGTCACAACTTGTATTATTAGTATTCATTTCATACCTTGGAATACGATGCCTTGGACAGTTTATGAAATGGAATAGCTGGGGAATTGAGTACAAAAAATTGAATATTTGTGGTAGGAAAAACAATAACATGGTTTTGCTAAAATGACCAAGAATTCCAACTACTGCAAAAGTCATACCAGCGAAATAACAATAAGTATCACCAACAAACACCTCAGAAGGATACCTGAAACATAAATACATTTTTGATTATGGCTACTAACAGAAATATTTTTAACAGCTAATTGTTTACTTGCCAATTATATTTTAATAAGGCAAAAGTAACAGATATAAACGGTATTATAAAATGCAATGAAAATAAATGTGCTTGACCACAATCTCCAGATAGTTCAATAAAATTGAAAATTAAAATTGATATTGCAATAATGAGACTCTGTCCAGTTTCCAAACCATTTATTCCGGCTAATATATTAATAGCATTTGTACAAAATACAGCTAGCATACCCATGTACACATAGTAGAGTAAACCTGTGGAATTCATAAAATAAAACATTGAAACAAGTAAGTAACGAACAACATAAATACATCCAAATTAAAATGTAAGACTTACCTAAGTTTACAGATACTCCAAAAATATCTCTGAAAGGTTTAGGTATAATAATTGTAGTAGAGTTGAAATTTATGTAATAAACAACAAGTAAAGGTAAAGAAGCAATAGTTGGTAATAATAGTTTATGTCGCCATCGTAAGTTCAGAACATCATCTGCAAATCCCAATAGAAGCATACAGCAAATTGACAACAAAGCAGCTAGCATTTCTACAAACTGAAAAAAATAATGAAACTGATTTCATAAATTATTAAAAAAATTATTTCTAGGTATCATTGTAATATTTTAGTTAATAAGTAATTAAGATACATATTAACTCTCGCCTTACCTATGATAATTGTTTGAATAAACCCTAAAATATTGAAATATATTTTTTTAAATATTTTCAGACGACCAAACTGTTTTTATTTAAATGTCTAATATCAAAATATTTTATTTAAAATAAAGAATGAAAAAATTACTTCACTGTGTGGAAATAGAGTTGTATCATTCTGTAGCATGTGCCGTCCAAATATAACAGGTATCAATACAAAGATTGTGATCAGAAATGTACATCCTGTCACTACTCCAAAAGCTTCAGGTCTAAATCAAAATAATATCAGGTTATTGAAATATTATTAATCATACAGATATTAAATTATAATATAAATACAAATAGTTTTTAATAATAATGAATTAAAAGCAAGTAAAAATATTAAATAAGCGTTACAAATTATATGTTATTTTGAACATACATTTTATTCTCAGATTTTTTATTTAAATCTTTTCCGTATAAATTAGCACCAATAAACATAGATTTTAAATGTGGTATAATGTTATAAGTACAAAAAAAGGCAAATACACTAAGTATAATATTAATAGAAATTATATAAAGAGTTTCCATGATTAAATTGTAAATTATAATAGTAGACTAGACTAAATACATTCACTAAAAATTATCCAAGAAATAAAAATACACGTCATATGACATGTTATGTGTAAATTATAAAATTAATAAATAATTTAATTTAAAATAGTGATTATTGTTTATGATAATTCATCAAATAAAAATATTTACTATTCAAAATATTAATATCAATATCTCACTATAATAAAATAAGTAATGAAAATTAAAGACGAGATAGTAGATACCCGGGTGCCAGTGAGTGATAAGAGAAAAAGGTAAGAGTGGTTATCATATTATCATGATTGTAAAATGTTCATGGATGAATTTGATAAACGATGACAATGCGATTTTTCATGGTGTAGAATATAACACATGGTTTCGCGCTAATTTAGAAGCAAGCTAGTAAAGAATTGTTTTGTCTATATCAATCACATTTGTTCACGATTTAAGAAGAAAATTTGTTTGTCTTTGTCATTCAGATGTAACCAGTCATTTTTCATATAGGTTAATCAGTGTCACAAGTTCCAACACAAATTAAATATATTCTTTTTTGTTGTTTAAGGTAAGTCTATTAGTTTATGTTTAACAGGTTTACTATTTTGCCGAGGTGGATTTAATTTCTGTCCGGGTCTTTAGTTGTTGTTCCGGTCGGGGAGATGTTGAAAAAATTAAATAAACCAGGCATAATGATAAATGCCAATCTTATAATATTCATATATTTAGACAATATCATCCCAGAAACAAACAAACCAACTACCGACAACGGTAATGAGTTTTCGGCGGTCGATAATTTAAAAACAAAATAAAACAAAAATGTGATTGGCGAGAGATGATGTCTCATAGAGCAAGGATAACCTACACTGTACATCCAGTAGCGGATCTGAAGCTCACTTAAGGAGGGGGCGAATTGGTATCATAGAATTTCAATATATAAGTATATAGTATATATATATAATATATAAGTAAATAGTATATATATATTATATATATAATATATTAGCAAATAAACATCTGATATATATATATATATAAATTAAACCGTATAAAAATTCAACAGTCTTTTATTCAATATTAAATAAACAAATGTATTAATAATTTATTTGAGCAATTTTGAGCATTTATTTATGGTTCCTTCTTTTTTTACCAGCCTCAAATCTGTCAATGAACAATGAAAATAATTAATTAGTCAGCACTCAATATTAAAATTGAGTTATTTACCACAGTCACAGTGAACAAAATATTTAATTTATTTTATAAAAATGAAGTGATAACAGATTTGATGGTAGGAAAAAAAGTCTCGGTTAAAAAAGTCCCGGAAAAAAGTCTTGGTGGTAAAAAGTCTGTTTTCTAAAGATAATATCTAATAATTATGTAATCATATAATGGGTAACTACTAAATACAAAACAGAAAATTGCATTACATTACATACCTAATTATAAAAAAGGTGGGCAAGTGGGTGTCGCTCTGCTGTACAGTAGGTTACAAGTGGGTCACTGTATAATGGATGGTATTAAATTTGAATTCAATGATATAATATCATTGTATAAGAAAAACGATTCTGAGCGGTGACGGTATGTCAGTCTATGTATCAGACATATTATAGGTATACATATTTATGGTATTAAACAAAAAATTGACCTATAATAGGTACCTATAATAAATTCCAAATTAATCATATCACAATATCCATTAGATACTTATAACGCGTTATACATCAACAAAAACCGTGATACTATCATAGATATATAATAGTACACTTTAGAAGTTTCAAGTACCCACGAATAATATTATTCAATCACAACAAAATAACTAAAATAGTTATTCTAGGTTTTTTAATATGTAATTTCGTCCAAATTTGAATTTAAAATGTCTGTAAAAAATAAGTGTGTTCATATATTTAGATTTTTTGGTTATAGTATGAACTGTTTATGAGAACCTTTGTGTTGAATTTGTAATCCTCAGCTATAAAAACTGAACATTTTATAATTTATTAATTACAATGATTGATAATTTTCGAGATTTTGATAAATTTTGTCAAAATTTGATCTTTAAATGGATATAAAAAAAAACTGTGCATATGTATTTTTAATATTTTTCAACTGCTATTGTAACAATATATCAGGAGCCTTGTATTAAATTTTTACACTTTTTGGCAAAACAGATAAAACTTTATTGATATTTATAGAAAAAAAAACTAAAAAAAATTGAAAGCTGTAAATGTCCATAAACAGCTCAAAAAGAGTCAAAATATTTTCAAAATTGTATGGTGTATAGAAAATGCTAATTTAAACATTCAGTGAAATTTTCATGTATCTACAGTTGTTCGTTTTTGAATTGCAACAAAATAAGGAAATCACTACATGAGTAATCGAGTGAAAATCCAATGTTGTAAAAATTTGAATTTCAAACGCTCATAAAAATTTAATTTGACTGTCCGGTAGAGATTTTTTTATTGATAAAGGTAGATAATCTTATAAGGAATCTTGTGTTTCATTTTCAAATCTTAGATTTAAAAAGAAAAATTTTACGAATTCTTAACTCAAAATAATTTGCTAATTTTCGTGATTTTTCCATATTTTGTCAATTTTTGAACTTTAAATGCTTATAAAAAAAAATTTTGACTAAGGATTTTTAATATTTTTCGTCTGCCTTTGAAACAACATATTAGGAGCCTTCTATTAAATTTTCAAGCTTTCGCAAACAATAAATAAAATTTTATTGATATTTTTAGAAAAAAAACTAAAAAAATAATGGAAAATGAAAATGTCCCTAAACAGTTCAAAATAAATCAAAATATTTTGAAAATGTTATCGTGTATAGAAAATGCAAATATAAACAACCAGTGAAAATTTCATGTATATACATTCATTTATTTTAGAGTTACACCAATAACCAAAATCGATTTTTTGGAAAACCAATTTTGCGTAAAAATTCCCGTTTTTCCTTAATTTGTATGTTTTTTTTCCCGGCGCTTATGAAAACTACTGGGAAATTTATACTTTTGACCCTCCAAAGTACCAACTAGATTCACTTTCCTACCAGAAAAGCTACTGATGAAGAAAATCCAAGCAATTTTACTGTCCCAAAACGTGATGACAGACACAAAAAAAAATATAAAAATATAAAAAAAAACACACATCATTGTAAAACCAATACATTCATCGCTCCGCTCAGAATCTAAAATCATAGTTCTATAAATTATTGTTATAACTGTAAATTTTAAAAATTATTTTAATAAATACCAAACAGATATTAAACAAAAATAATAGCTAATAATTATAAAATTATAAAAAAATATCTCATTGAATCTTAGTCAATAATATTATTAATAAAAATATACATATCTATATAATATCACTAAATTAGATGTCAGAATAGAAAAAAAATTATTTTAATATTTCTTCTTTTTTTCCCCGAGACTTTTTTATCGTTCCCCAACAGATTTATAAGCACGCTACAGCACTGCTTGGAGGTAAAATGATTTTATCTGTCATTCTATCTATAATCTAAAACTTTAACCGAAGCAAGTTGTCTTCAGAAATTTTGGTTATAACCAAGAAAATATTATTTTATTATCTATAATGGTTATAACTTATAACCAATTTCAAATTTGTTTTGAACATAATCATGTTATTTAAATTCGATAATTTGTATTGATGCTCAAATAACAATATAATTGATAAGATATTAAAAAATACCTTTTTTGTATCTTTTATTAAGTTTGAAGTTATAGTTATGACTTATGAATTTCATATTCATTATATCATACGACGCTATAATTTAATTTAAAAAAAAGCCCTAGGGGGGGGGGGGTAATCGCCACGTCGGCCCACTTCAATTCCACCACTGGCTACACCAGTTGTTTTCCAGTTTTCCCTGCACAGTGCACACAATACCTGTCAGAATGAGACAAATTCAACGTCATCTTATATTTATATTTATACTCTGAAATCTGGATTAACTCTGGATTTTTACTGGGTTAACCCGCCATATTATAATCTACAAATATATGCAATATTATACCATTAGGTAGTATTTGCCACACTGATATTATTATAAGTTATTACTAACTTATGTAATCTATTCTGTGTTATTAGTATAAAGCAGAGTTTCTTAAAATGTGCTTCGTGAAATTTAAGTGATTTTTTTCAAAATTTTAAATCGATCTCTGTATTAAATGTTGGTGTATTTCAAAAGATGATTATCCTTAATTGTCACAAAAGACTGTGTTGTCACTTTTACCATTTTTAACCACTATATTATAATAATGTGTGAAACGGGGTTCACCACGTTCTATTATGTATCAACAAAAACAAAATACCGCAATAGACTTGATGCCGAACCTAATATGAGAATACAACTTTCATCAATAAAGCCCATATATAGCCAAATATTGCAATATTAATAATATGTATAATAATAAAAAGTAATTTCACTCATCTCATTAAAATTAAAATTTAGAAGTCCTGTTATTGTCTGTTATTCAAAATATTTTTGGAATTAAATACAGAATAGTGTGTACACATTATTATTAAATGAAATTATAATTTTTATTGCAAATAAATCTTACATAAAATAACACGTTAAAACTATTGAAACAAAGTATGGGTTCTAATATTGTCAAGCTATAATAACTTACTGTTGAAAGCTAAATAAAAAAACCTAAAAAGCTAAAACAAAATTAGGGTTTCGACCATAAAAGTGGGTTCCACTGATAAAAAAGTTGAAGAAACGCTGCTATACAGTATACCCAAATTATATAACTACACAGTATTTACTCGTTTCTTATAGCATATTATATAGGTATATCATTATTCATTAATAACTGAAATGACGTTCCTGTATCTAATATGGTTCTAAATCTACAATATTCCTGTATACTAAATAATACTAAATTAATCTATTT